CGAAACATGCTTTCACTTTGTAGATCCTTTGGCAGTATCCAGCATCGGAAGTTCTATTTGACATAATCGAAAGTTCAAGCTTACTTTTATAAAATTGCTCTAATAGTCTACAAAAAATAATAAGCTGAATCCAATTCGAAGATTAAGGAATAATGCAATCTGCAACATTAACTGAAATAGATAATTTTTTTAGCTTAGCTTATACCATCCGTTATACATTAAATGCGCATGCGTAAATGCATTACGCGTTTACGCATGCGAGATGTTTGTAGGTCCGGATTATATATCATTGATTATGGGTCCCGATTAACGACTTTTGACTGTAATCTTAATTACTATTAAATATCCGATATGAGACTTCAGTATATTGACATGATGTTTTTTATATCATAGATGAGAATCATTTTTATAACTGTTTCATTTGCATAACTTCAAAATTCTTTTAATGCAGGCATGTTTCCAAAAAATGCATTTGTTATTCTCTTGCACTGTTGATGATGCCCACATCACAAATTGATGATTGGAGGCAGAGTGAATCAAACACATGCACTAGCCCTTCTCATTTTGATATGTGTGAGAGAATCTTAAGAGTGCATATAGCAAGCAGAATTTAATCTTGGTGTTTCTCTAAGAATTATTTTCAAAGTTTCATCTGTATGAATCTTTGATTGATTCTTACTCATTCATTATTTGTTGTCTATGCTCTAAATTAGAGTATCTAAGTTCACCCATTTGTTGTTAGTTTATTCAAGTTTATTATTGTTATTGGTATACAGAATCTGAAATCTGGACCTGCGGACCATCAGCACACGAGGGAAAAAAATTCCTTCTCTCTTATTAGAAAATCCAGGACTATAATATTCAACAACATTATGCAGGTAGGCCATAAATGGGATTTTTCTGTTGACTAAATGAGATTCCTGCATGTCATTTTCAAACACTTGTTTGCTAGGAAATCACGTGGTGACCAATGACAGTACCTTGGTTGATGTGAGCTCTGATTACACTTTTGTCTCTTGGATGGTTGTGGAGGGGATTAGCATTTTTCTATCTGGGCTAAACAGTAAGTGATAGCCCAATGTTGCCATGTCTACATGTCATCTTACTAGATTTCAACTGATGATCTAAAATCGGCAATAGCCAGTATTCCGAGGATTCCGGATCTCTGATGGTTTACTATATTATCATTTATTCTGTGTTTTAGCAAATCTTGTGCGTTTTCTGTAAAAAAAAAAAAAAAAAAAAAAAAATTGTCAAATTTTTTTCTGCAAATAAGTATTTTTAAATAACACTTGGGAACAGTTTGTAACACAAGTTTGTTGGGTTTTATTTTTGAGCTGCTGATTTCAAAACTGTTAATTAGTTTCTTTCTACCATTACATGTTTTGCACACTTGTCTGGACTAGTTCAGTTATGCCCGAGATACTGTAGTAAGACATTGTGTGTCGCTCTGATATAGTGAAATCCATTCCGACATGGAGTTCAAGTTCTTGTTTGTATACAGTGTTTAGTTTTTATTTACACATAAACTGAAACCTTTCCTTATATCTGTCTTTGCTAGTTCATGTCACATGTGCTTAAGCACCCTCGACTCGTTTCGTTTGCAGTTGCATGTCGCAGTTTTGCTATTCCCAGTCAAAGGACCAACATAGGTACATTTGTTATGAAAGCCTATTTTAAAGTAAAAATGGTGATCAAAATAAACCATTCGCCCCTCATGGTGTTCAAGAGGTGTGCCAACAGTTTATACATGTGGGTGAAGGGGACACGTTCTGAATTTCCATTTGGTGTGCCTATGATTTGGAAGAACCCAAAGATCACTCAAGTGATTGTTACTTTTATATAGTGAAAATGTCAGGATATAACAAGAAAAACAAATCTAAAATAGAGTATCATAATTTACCATCAGCTATATGCCCAGTGCATCACTCAGCTAAATTCCCAGTGCTAGTTCTCAAAGAATTACACTCTTTGGAAACACAGGAATGTGATTCTGGTGAACATCGAATTGGCACCAACAATGAAGATTTTGAAACTGAAGATGATTCCCTTCAGAACAGATTTGACTGGCATGAGTTGAATTATTTGGGACTATCCAAAAAAGTTTCAGATCTGTTAACATCAAGACTGCTTGAGAAAAACTTACTTGAAAAAAGGAAGTATTCAGTTAAAAAAAAAAAAAAAAAAAAAAAAAAAATCTTTTCTGCAATACTTTATAATCATATAAAATGTGCAAATTATATTTGGATTAAGCCTAAATTTCAAAATCTTGAAGAAAGAATCAAGTAAGTTTAATAAAAAAAAGAGATATTAATAAATATATATTGAATTCAATTAACATTGAGAAGCGAAAATTTTGAGAGCTGATTTTTTAAAAACTGCTCATGCGATTTTTACAAAACTTGGAAGTTTGGCATAATTTGTATCTTAGAATCGAAATATGGAAAACAATTAGTATTAGAACAATGCTATACATAAATCTAATACATATCCTAAGTCGTGCTTGCGAGACATGAAAAACCCGAGTTGAATCTTGTCAATTGGCCCAGTAGAACGGGATATAGAACTATCTCCCCTTTTTTTGTTGTGTAGTGTACATATGATGGCTGATTATTGCTGGAGCATCAAGTGAGAATGTCTACAGATTAAACACTCCAGAAAAGGCCATAAGCAAAAATTTTTACCTTAATATTTATGTAACTATATCATAAAAAAAACCTAACTGTGTGTATAAATAAAACTGTTTTTGCAAACAGTATATTTGGTAAGTTTTCCTTTTATTTTTCTTTACATGCATATTTTGTATGACTTTTAAGATTAAGAGAGGGCATAGCTTAAAAAGTTGATATCATAGACAAAAACAGGTTATTTTTAGATTCAAAGGCTAAAAGTTGGTCAAAAACAAGTGACAAATCAAAGACAATGGAATTACTGTTCCCATTTCTAATAATGCTAATAACTTAATGACAGAACTTAGATGGATATCTGTAAAAATAATATTTCATGTTATGAAGTTCCAATAATCTTGTTTTGGAACACATTTAAAGTAATTAAAGGTTAATTTTTTCCCCTTGGAAAAAGAAAAATTGTTTGTTTTTTAAATTGATGATAACAAAGCACTCGAGGGTTGTCTTGCCTGTAAAATTTTGGTATTTCTTGATGCTGCTTGTTAAATCAGTGCAGGCTTTTCTCTTATATTATAAAATCTATTTAAAATTTTTTAATTTGAAGTCACTTATACATGTCTAAGTGTGGGTGAATTTAGATGGCATATACACTATTGTTTTTGCAGTGCTTTCTGTATCTGCCTATGTTAATAACTAATGTATTTTTTAAATTTGAAATGCTGCAGCAAGTAAAATAGCAGTACTACATGATTTTCACGATCTCCATTATCAAAACAATGCTGAGGTTACCCCCCATTTTAAACTACTTGCATATAAGTGACTTTTTTCTACAGTGTTCAGACATTCCAGGTTCCAAAACGAAAAGTCCTTAGGCCATTTCCAAGTAGTTTTCCAGTAGACGCGGTCTGGCTAATTCTATCTTTGGATTTCTTAACAGTAAGATTTTTTATGGAGTGGGATAGTTGTTCCTATGCCTAACCCCCAACCTGGAGGACCAGTCCCCTGATATAATCCCCAGGGGCAAGATGCCCAGCTATACCCCCAGATGCTGGAAAAAAAAACTTGGTGCATCAAATTTGGTGGTTTATCATGGGAGCTGTGAAAATCATGTAATAATATTCTCTGTTTTCAGTTTAAAAGTTTATGTAAAAAATGGTACTTCCAACTTTCAACTTCTATTTGCTGAATTTGATGATCTGTGTGTTATCGTAGAAGTCTTTTTTCAAATTAAACGTTTATGTAAAAAATGGTATTTTCACTTTTAAATTCTGTTTTCTGAATTCTGACCACTGTTAGTGGTTCCAGAGCACATTTTTAACAGTACTTTGTTTCATCTACTGGGGGGAAGAGAAACTAACTTTGCTCAAGTGGTGCGATAAACCTATCAACATGTACTAATTCAGAAGTCAAACAACAAAAATCAGCATTATATTTTCAAAATTTTCACAGGACTAGTTTCGATGGTTTTACCGAACCACCATCCTCAGCTGCAAAACCGCAAATGAACAAGATAGGAGTTGTTGTTTGACTTCTGAATTAGTATTTGTTCGGCATGTTATTGTGTCTTAATATCAACATGTGTCAAAATACCACAGTTGGCTGGATTAATTTTATAAAATAGGCTTATTAGCTAGATTTACTTTGATAACCTAAAAAACAAACAGGTGGGAAAATTGTCGAAATTAATGGCAATTTTTTCCTGCAGTGAAAAAAACAGCAGTGGGTATTCAGTGGGTTATGCTGTGAAAGTAGCAAGTGATTTCTTATTCAGGTTCCAAATTGGGAGGCAAGCACACGGATATCAGTAATGTAGACCACATTAGTGGAATGATCAATAATATATTCAGACTGTTGAGAAGCCTATAAAACAGATGAAAGCTTGGTTACAGCCATTTAACTGTGAATCACAATTTTAATTTTGGTGATTCAGCAATGGGAAATGTGGAAAGGTTATGGGACTCTGTTAAATAACAAAGCAAAAAGGTACAGCTCGACATCATCTAGGGTCATATCTTTTGGAACTCATAAAATGAAATAAATCCTTTGGGAAAGAAGAGCCTTTTGATGCTACATTAAAAGCAATCATAGAGATATGGCAGTCACAAACTGTATGCGAGTACTGTTTGGGTAACGGGAGCCATTAAAATCAAGTAGTGCGAGAACCATTCGTGAAAGTTATGGAAGAATGTTTTTTTCCATGATTTCACCATGCATCATCGTGCAAAATGAATTTGTAGGCATTTAATCATGAAAGCTATACTTGGCAGGTTTCTTTATATGATTTTAACTTTTACTGTATTGAAACTATTTTGATGTAAAAAAATTAATTATTCATGTAAACTTGTCTGTGAAATAATGTGTTGTGTCTTTTAGTTGTTCTTGATCCTGTTGAAGAATACCTCAAAAACATTAGCCAAGTACCTCATAACTTAGAACCTGTAGCTGGGTGCTCACATTCAAATCGTACTCTCAGGATAAGTGGAAGGGAAAGAAGTTCTGATCCAGGGCCTTCTACTTTACCAGATGACAGAATTAGTTTTCCAGGCAGTGAGCCACCTCCAAGCAAAAGACTGCGACGTAGCCAAAGAATTTGTACGCGGTCTTTCAGTAAAAATGAGCCTATTGTTGGACCTACAGGCTTGATAGGATTACGAAAGAAATTTACCTGTGGTAATATATTCCTTTTTTATTTTATAAGTTTTCCCACTTCATCACTTTTCTACAAAAAAATATAAGATCAAGATTTCTTTCAAGCATTTCTATGTTATCCTTTGGATTATAATGACACTGTAGAATTTTTTAAATTTTGTTCAACAATATTTAACTCTCTCACAAAATTAGTAATACATATGAGAGTGTATTAATTTTTATGATGAGTATAATAAAATTTTTGGAGATGCAGAATTGTGTATAATTTTAGGAATAACTCTAGTATAATTCTATAAATGTTCTCTGAATTCTGTAATAGTAGTAATCAGGGCTGTGGAGTCATTAGGGAAAATGGCAGATTCCTGGAATTTTAATGACTCTGACTCCTTCATATATATGTAAGCATATACACATGGGTACAGCTTTTTTTTTTAATATAAAAGAATAGATATATGATACAGAGAAAAAATTGATGCATAGCAAAGTTTTTATATTAATTAGCATTTATTGTGAAATGGAAAAACTGGCATTAGTAATTTCTAAGAAACGGTAAAACTTCGGCAAAATCTTCTTTGTTAGAGGCTCATAGATTCAATTTGATAAACTTCAGAACTGAGAAGAGTCTTTCTATACTGACTTGAGTAGGAAGAAGAGCTATTACTGTTAGGACTTCCTTCCTTTAACTTTTCAGGATAGATTTTTTTATAAGTTCTAAAAGAAGTGTTCTGCAAGAGCAATCATATTTATCTATTTCTTCAAAGGCCATGTATAAATCTTGTTTTTTTTTTTTTTTTTTATATATATATAGATATATATATATATATATATAATAAAGGCTTTTGGTTCTTTATTTACATTCACTTTGCCTTAGCCTTTTTCAATATTATCCAAATAATTTGCAAAATCTAATTCATACTGGAAGAAGATGATAGAGATTCAACAAAAATCAAAAAGCATAACTTAATGATAATTTTACATGGAAACTTTAATTTTAATTCTAGAAATTGTTTGTTTAACTGTATTTGGTATTTTTATGTTTTTCTATATTTTACAATTTTTAATGAAGATGTTTTGAGTTTTTACGCATTTTTGTCTTGCCGCAAAGTGAGGGCTGCATTAATTGAATGAAGTATACCTCTACTAAAATTCAAGGAAATAAATTTAAAAGAAATGCAGCTAAAAATTTATATAATTTAATATTTCGTACAAGTCATGTGGTGTACACACCAGATTTTTTGTCTTGCAGGGGATCTTTAGTGTTCAGTGTTACACTGGTGTGCAAAACTTAAGCAATAGGTGTTCGCTTTGCCATAACTACATGAGAAATCATCTGAGGGACATGAAATTCAGAATTAAAAGACAGTATTTTGTATTTAAACGATGATAAAAGCATAGTTGTGCAAAAATGAATACTATGCATACAGTATGGAATCAGCTTTTAAAAAAAGCCTTTGTTGAACTCAAAAAATCATTACATATGATTGTCTGTATAAGAGGAAGAACAATAAGCAGATGCTCCTTAATATGGGATATGCCTGGTGCTAAGTATAGACAGACAGTGCGAAGCAATCATTGCCTTACTGCAGTGATTGCTTCGCACCATCTGTCCATGCTCAGCACCAGATTGTCCAACAGATCTTGAGGTGAGAAAGCCCATTCCTCAATCAGCATCTGTTTCAGTTGTTGGCCGTTCCCCAAAGCATGTAATCGTGCCACAAGACGTCTGCCAAAGCATCCTACATATGTTCGATGGGATTTAAATCATGGGAGTCGGCTGGCCAAACCATTCGAGCGATATCTTCCCTTTCAAGTAGCTTCTGTAGAGGAGGAGTCCGGTTTTGACCATACATTGTCATTCATAAAAAGGAAGTCTGCTCCAGCTGCACCTCGGAACAGATGCACATTAGGGAAGGATCACCTCCTGACAATAGCGATCGATTCAACATAATGCCTCCCTAGACCAGAACCCCAGGACCATCGTAACGGTCTCTTTCTGTGATGTTACTGGAATGAATTCATGTCCCAACCTATCACCGAATCAACTGGCATTGAGAATCACTTTTGGCACTAAAACGACTCTCATCCATAAAGAGGACACGAGTTCATCGATGAAAAGAACAATTTTTTTGCTCCGTGCACCACTCTGAATGGTGGCACCAATAGCCAGTGTTCAGGACGGCGGGCGAATAGGCCACCTTTGTGAAGGCGTTTGAACGCAGTAAACTGTGACACTTGTCGCCCCGTTGCTGTACACAGTTGTTGAGCTATGGTGCTTGCAGGGTAGTTTCGGCTCTTTTCGCCTGCAGGATGATATATAGGTCATTCACTGCAGTTGTTTCCCTAGAGTGGCCACCACCAACCTCTCTAACAGCTGTACCTGTGGAAGGCTGACATTTGCATATGCATCTAGTTTTCTTCGAATCCATATATGAGCTGAATTCTGTAATTTAGCTTTAGAAAAAGTTCTAAAAATTCTGGGCTTTATTGGAAATATATGGTAATTTACCTCGAGAAGTACCTTTGACTGGTTTGTATGATCCTGAACTTTAATATTTTCTTTGAAATGATTACAGTATAGCACTGTAGTATTTAAATTCTTAGTAAAGTTTTCATTTTGTCTTTTAGCATTATTTAGCATCTTTTTTTTTTTTTTTTTTTAATTCATATAGATGTTCGTCTTAGAGTTCGTGCAGAATATTGCAATTATCAGTCTGTTCTGCAAGGTAATGTATCTTCCATTAAGCCTGATCCTGTAGAACGGCAGCTGGAATGTTTCACACAAGCAAGTACCATTTTACGAGCTCGAGACTTGGGTTACATTGTTTGTGACATTAAATTTTCAGAGATAACATACCTGGATGCTTTCTGGAGAGATTACCTCAATGGTTCTTTATTAGAAGCTTTGAAAGGTATATATAATTTTTTAATATTTTCCTCTCTCCTTCTCTCTCTACTTTTTTTAAAATCAGATTCTATTCATTATTCAAGTAATATTTTAAAAATTAAGTATGCTAAAGTTAGTGTTTTTTTTTTTTTTTTTTTTTTTTTTTTTTTTTTTTTTTTTTTTTGGAGCACTCCTAAACATTTTGTGAATTTAATGGGGAGACGATTAGAGATTTTAAAATGTTGTTTTATTTTGCTAAATCAACTTAATCAAATAATTAATAAATCAACTTAATCAAATAATCTTATGGATATTTATGTAATTTGTCGGGTGTTATGTAATATATTTTAGCAAAAAAAAATTTTTACTTATGTTTAAATTCACCATTGGAGTTGTTCATGATACAAGATGTAAAAAATGCCACCAAGCTCACGGACATAATCAATTGGTGTTATTGTTGGGCTGGCAAATACAGTGAAGTCATCTCTTGGGAAAGAAGACAAGTTCAGATCCACCACTGGTGGGCACAGCCTACATTGTGACTGAAATAATAATGAACAGAGGCTGATATTTTTTGCTTCAGAACATGATATGGTGGTGGCCAGTAATTGCTTTTCACATAAACGTATACACAAAATGACATGGAGATCTCCACGCCTTTAATCAGATTGATCACTTTTTACTTGATCTTAGACATGCATCAGACTTATCGGATGTCAGATCGTGAAGCAAATTTAGACTCTGACCACTACCTAGTAATGATGAAAAAAATTAGAACAAGAATTTATAATGCCCGTAAAAACCAATAAGTGAAATTAGAAAAATGTAACTGTCAACTGTTGAAAGATACAGAGAAACTGGCATCTCTGTCATAGGAAAAGTTAAAAAGGAAAAACATGATTATTGGTTTGACCTGGAGTGCAGAGCTGCAACCGAACTTAAAAATAAGGCATGTAAAAACATGATACAAAGAAAACATACTAGAATAGCCGTTGACAAATACAAATGTGCCAGAAAAAAGGGGGAAAAATGATCCACCGTATTAAGAAGGAACTTTAATGAAAATCTCTTAAAGGATGTTGAACATCTTAGGGAAGTAGGGAAAAGCAGTGCTTTCTTTCATGAGATTAATTGTGGACGAAGAAGTTTCAAGCCAAGAATTATATTGTGCAGAGGAAAAGTGGCAATATTTTAAGTGCAAAAGGTGGTATTCTCCAATGATGGAGGGAGCACCTGAATAAGTTGCTGAATTCCGCCCTGCCTTCAGAAGTTAGTCGATCAACAATCAGAAATTTGGAGCCTATTGATCCCCCCTCGTTGATAGAAGTGAATAATGCTATTAGAAAACTAAAAAACATTATATATCTTGGACCTGATAATATACCGTCAGAATTTTAAAAGTTGCATCACCTAGCTATCAGGTTGCCACCTAAGCAGGAGAATGAAATTCCGTGACTTTTCCAGGTGTGTTTCAAGAAAATTCTACGCTATCTGCATAGTGCGCATTTGCAGTGCTGAGGGTAAATTAATTATGGTACGACCTTGAAAATGCAATTTGCCAATTACATATGATTTTATATATATATATATATACAGTCAAAAGTCGTTAATCCGGACTTGTCGGGACTTCAGCGATTCCGGATTATAGATCATCAGTTTAAATCTCGTAAAATGGCATGCAGAAATTCTAAAATTAAAAATATGAAACCGTAATTTATGAAATAAAGAACAATTATGATCTAAAGGGTATCAAAATTTACAAAAAAAAAAAAAAAAAAAGCTTAATATTTATTTGTTTACTTTATTAAACATTTCTTTCAATGTAAGTTGTTTTTTAAGTTGCTTCGTTTTATGTGATAATACTTTCTCTTTAATTCTATAAACAGACATAATTTCTTGTTCAGTTACAAAGTTCCGCTGTTCAAGTCCCGTAATTGCTGTGCCGAGAATACCGACTAACTTGTCAATCGAAATTTTTTCGTTTTCACTAACCTCTCTGTCACCTTCATGTCTTTATCCATTTTTTGCAGCAATTCCACTTTTTGTTTGATGGACATCGAAACATACTTTCGTTTTGTAGATCCTTTGGGAGCTCCAGCATCGGAAATTCTATTTGACATAATCGAAAGTTCAAGTTTACTTTTATAAAATTGCTCTTACAGTCTGCAAAAAATAATAAGCCGGATCCAATTCGAAGATTAAGGAACAACGCAATCATCAACATTAACTGAAATAGATAATTAGATAATTTTAGCTTATACCGTCCGTTATACATTAAACGCGCATGCGAAAACGTATTCTGCGCTTGCGCACACGCATATGCGCAGTCGTAAAGGTCTTACGCGCACGCGTAAACGCCTATGCGCATGTGTCAACGCGGCGCATGCGCAGAAAGTTTTTAGCTTTGAGGTCCGGATTATAGATCATTCCGGATTATGGGTGTCCGAATTAACGACTTTTGACTGTATATATAATCACCAAAGCAGTACTTTTATAACTGTAATAGGAGTTGTAGTTCTATAGTTATAATAGGAATAATCCACTGAGGATTGAGATTAGAATCTGCCCAATCAGGATATAAAAATTTCTTTTCTACAGACATTTTGCAGCTAAAGAAATCTGTTTTATGATATTTTAAAATAAATTCAAGTACTTTATATTTATTTATTAGCGAGCATAAGTAAAAAGTATGTGCACTAAATTTTGTGATGTATGTCATATTACTGCTAGAATTAGTTTCACAAATGTGCCAGAGAAAATTGCCTGAAATTTGAAAGTATTATTAACTAATAGTAAATATATTTAGAAGGAAGAAGACACATTAAATGATACAAATAACATTACAATAAAGTTAATTACTTAAGGATTAAAAACTGAATTACAAAAGTTGACGATAATTTGGCAAATGTAGATATATTAAATAGTTAGCCTAGATGGCTGATGATGATTATTATTTTTTTTTTTTTTTTTTTACTTCAATATGAAGAATAAGGCATTTAAGAAAGAAGAAAAGGTTTAAAAGATTTTGTTTTATATGAGAATGGAGGGGGGGGATTTACTTTCGTTCAACATGCACTGACGTGCATGCGAATCTTTGGATTCTCGAGGTTACTGGAAACTTGTTTTATCTTTCTAAAAGACAATTTGATTGGCACTGCAATAATTGGCTCTATGTCAGCTATCTGAATGATAATCACGTGATACATGATTGGCCAAGAAAGTTATTGTTTCCAACATTGGCACGAAAATAGCTTTTTTGGAGGATTGCAGCATGAAATTCTCTGACCTTTCCAGATATTGACTAAGGTATTTAAATTCCCTGGCTTCTTCTTCTTTTGGGGGGGGGGTCAATTTTCGAATTCCATGTCTTTTCTATGTTTTCCAGATAGTGTGGCAATCCTGTAACTGTGTACAGCTCATAAAGGAAGGAATTCCAACATATTTGGAAAAGTGAGACAGTCCCAATGGAATGGAAACTTAGTACCATTTGCATGATGCACAAAAAAAAAAAAAAAGATGACATGCTAGACTATAGTAATTATAGAGGAATCAGTCTTCTTTGCACACAGTCTATAGAAATCTGTCTACTGTTCTTTTTGACAGACTTTTGCCATTTGTTGATAGGTAACTAACTATCAGTGTGGATTTAGGAAGGGAAGATCTACAACTGAGAGATTTTCAACTTAAAGATCCTTGAAAAATGTTGAGAATTTGGAATCGAAACTTGCAATCTTTTTATCGATTTTAGAACAGCATATGATAGTATTAACTGAAAACTTCTCATAAAAGCTATGCATGAATTGAAAATTCCAGAAAAACTTGCTGCACTTGTAACCTTAACTCTCAAAGAAACCATAATTCAAGTATGCATACAGGATGAGTACACAGAACAGCATAAGATAAAAAATGGAGTGCGACAGGAGGATGCATTAGCACTCAAAATAATGTTTAATAAAGCACTCAAAAAAGTTTATTAGGACTCAATATTAGAGGAAATATTTTTACTCAGTTCAAATACTGGCTCATGCTGATGACATTGGCATTATTGCTCTGCACTGCCTCTCAAACAGGCATTTATGGCATTGGAACAATGTGCTAAAAGAATTTTATTTTTAAACGAAAATAAAGCTAAATATTCACCTTGCTAGTCTGACTTACAACTTAGTCAGTTAAAAAATTTCAATTATAAATTTGAAAAAGTTAACAGTTTTATTTATTTGGGAACAGAGATAAATAATAAAAATGTATTAGCCCTAGAAATATATAAAAGAATCATTGCTGCAAATATATGTTTTTATGCCGTGAAGAATTATTTAAAATCCAGCTTTCTTAAATTAAGAACTAAATTGCTTCTTTTGTAAAGAAGTCTTATAAAGATCTGTCTTGACTTGGGCATTGAGTTTACGTGATGAGGAAGCTCTGGGAATTTTTGAGAGAAACATCGTATGTTGCAGTTTTGGTGAGGTCTAAGTTTTTAGATCATGAAGAAGATCTAATTTAGAACTCTATAAAATTTATAAACAATTACTTACTATAAAATTTGTCAAATTACAGAAACTTCAATGGGCTGGCCATATGGCTACAATGAATAAAGATCGTTGCTGCTAAACAAGCTTTCTAGCAAAGCCCATGGGAAATAGACCTCAAGGCAGACCCTTGCTAAGATGGATAAATATCCATTACCATGTGAATTTCATGTCTTGGCAAGACAGAAATGTTTGCCTTTCATTTGCAAGAAACATTTGTTTCAAATGATCCGGTGAATAAAATGCATTACTGTTTTTAGAATAAGAGTATTTGTTCTTTATTAAACCAATGCAAATATCTTAGTGTGAAATTAATGTATGACAAGCATCACATAGCAGGTATTTTTCTTCTCTCACTTGTTTGGCATTGCTCTTTAAACAGCTTATGTAGAGCTTATAAGCTTTATGTTCTGCATTCTGAACATTTTTAGATTGATTCTTAAACTAGTAAGTCTGTTATAACTGTCTAAATCTACCAAACTAGAATCTGAGTCAGCATTCTAAAAAAATTGCCCATTTATATTTATGTTATTTAAATATTCATTTAATATTGAAGTTCTTTTCTTTTCTTAGGTGCTAGACTGTAATCTAAATTCGCTAGATAGTGATTTCTTTGTTTTTACAGTCTGAAATTTAATATTTATGTGTTAGCACAACCACCTTGATAGCATTTTATAGATGGAAAAGAATTATGACTTATAATCGCAAAACATTGTTTAATGAACATATAGAGTACAAAGTCCATAATTCGGACTCGTCGGGACTTCGGCGATTCCAGATTAGGGGTTTTTCCAGATTATAGATTATCAATTTAAATCTGTTAAGATGGCATGTAGAAATTATACAATTAAAAATATCAAACCGTAATTTATGAAATAAAGAGCAATTATGATCTAAAGGGTATCAAATTTTACCAAAAAAAAAGCTTAATATTTATTTGTTTACTTTATTAAACATTTCTTTCAATGTAAGTTGTTTAAGTTGCTTCGTTTTTTGTGCTAATACTTTCTCTTTAATTCTATAAACAGACATAATGTCTTGTTCAGTTACAAAGTTCCGCTGTTCAAGTCCTGTAATTGCTGTGCCGAGAATACCGACTAACTTGTCAATAGAAATTTTTTTCATTTTCACTAACCTCTCTGTCATGCCTTTATCATTTTTTTGCAGCAATTCCACTTTTTGTTTGATGTACATCGAAGCATGTTTTTGTTTTGTAGATCCTTTGGGAGCTCCAGAATCGGAAATTCTATTTAACATAATCGAAAGTTCAAGTTTACTTTATTCAAGTGTAGTATTGCTCTTACAGTCTTCAAAAAATAATAAGCCGGATCCAGTTCGAAAATTAAGGAACAACGCAATCATCAACATTAACTGAAATAGATAATTAGATAATTTTAGCTTATACCGTCCGTTATACATAAAAGGCGCACGCGAAAACGTATTCTGCGCTTGCGCACATGCAAATGCGCAGTCGTAAGAGGTATTAGGCGCACGCGTAAACACTTATACACATGTGTCAATGCGGCGCATGCGCAGAAAATGTTTATCTTCGAGGTCCGCATTATAGATCATTCTGAATTATGGGTGTCCGAATTAACGACTTTTGACTGTATTTAGTATCCTCTGCATGGTTTGCTATAATCATATAAACCATTTAGTGTCTTTTTACCCCTTCTGATCTGTACTGTCCGTATCACAAGCAAGAATAAATTACAAACATTCTTAAACATTTTTCCCACTATGAGATTTTCTAAGAACAAAACATTTTTATCTGATACCATTTGGAAAATGTTTTGTGTTTCTTATTTTACCAGATTGTTTTAGTCTTCCATTCATCAACAATCGACTAAAAACAACTTGCCACACAACTGATAAGGAATGGTGTCATATATCCCTTTTACTAATGCATGTGCAAAACTTGTGTTATGCTAATATAAGCAGATATCTCAATTTTGAACTGTTTTACATTTTCAGCATTTGACGTTGAGAAACTTCTTTATGCCCCCATCCTGAAAAGTGCCTTCTAATTAGGTATTAAAATTTGATTCTGTGTGAGATTCTGTGAAATATTCATAGAAGAAATAATGTGAGAGGAAAACTGATTCAAGCTTTTAAAAATTTTTAGCTGGTAATGTATATAGATGCAGTTAAAAAGTCACATTTTCACTTTCTTTTAAAGTCACACTATAAAATTTTTACTAAAACTGAAAGTTTTCTTTTGTAATGTGAATCAAATTTAGATGAATTTTCTACCATCATTCTTCAAGCTTAAAACATATGTAAATACTGATATTATTCTAACTGTAACTGTTATATTATTTTGATTAAATTTGATTTAGCTAATTCTTGTTAGTCATTTATTATGAAATACCAGGTTATTAATCTTTTTTTTTTTTTTTTTTTTTTTTTTTTTTTTTTTTTTTTTTTTTTGTTCCCCGTTTCAGGTGTTTTTATCACAGAGTCTCTAAAGCAGGCAGTTGGTAATGAAGCAATAAAACTTCTTGTAAATGTTGAAGAAAGTGATTATGAGAAAGGTCGTTCCATTTTAATGAAAAATTTGCACCAGTCTCCATAAATGCAATCAATTTCCTGCTACAAAAAACTGTAGTACAATTTAGTTTCCCACCTCAATAAAATCAGTAACAGATGCGAAAGATATAAATTTTTGTTTTAAAGCTTTTTACGAGTTATATGTAAGCTGTTTGTCTCCAAGTTAAAAAATAAATAACTAAAGTAAAAATACTTATTTTCTAATCTTTTTTAGTTGAAATGTTCAATTACCATTGAAAAAATTTGCACATTAATGTACTTTTCCTTTGGAAATTTTACCTTCCACCATTTTTTTAGCTTGAAATCAAGTTTTAAATTTGTTATTGTACTACAGTAATGTTTGCAGGAAGATATAAAAGCTTTTTTCTTATTTGCATTTCTAATATTGTGGTTGAGATCACCCACTTAAATGTTGCATCTGTACAGTTGAGTGTTATTCACATTTAGGTTTTTTTGTTTGAAAACATGTTTTAAATATTATCTAAGAAATTCTTTTTTGTATGTTATATTCTTTATGAACTTTGTTATGTGATGCAGATGCTGTATCTGGTAAGTGATATAGCAAATGAAATTCTTCATTCTTTCATCTAGTTGGTTTTGAAGCCACCATTAAACTGCCAGATTTCAAACAAAAAAAAAGTTCATCTTTTAGGAATACCTGTCTGTTAACATAGTCTACCTCATGAAAAGAACATTAAGTTTGATATGATAAACATTCTCTATATTGTCATTTTTTATCAAGTGTATTTGAAAATATTTAAATTCAAGTTTCCCATTAAATTACATGCTTTAAAATGTCAGTTATAAAAACATGTGTTCTCAATACCTCTCTGTCGAATAGCCAAATAAGGAAGTTGATCTACCTCAATTAACTTCAGAATTGCCATTTCATGCCTTACTGCATATGTTTTAGTTTTGTCTGCTTAACAATGAAGCAGAAATAATATAGGAGTTTTTAAAGTCATCATAGTGTTTTCGTAAGTATGTTAAATAAGGCATTTAGGATTGGTACTGCTAAAAAACCAAAACTTTTGCTTTTCATTGTTATTGAAAAAAAGAATTGTGCTTATGCAAGTTTCAGTAAGATATGTAATATATGGTACATAGGCATTTGATTTTAGTTTAACTGTTGAAAGTAGGATTGAATCATTTTTAAAAGTTTCTGTTGTACATTATTAAAAATTTCTTTTTAAGGGGGGTTAATTTTCATGTTTTTCAGTTAAATTTTTAAGAAACATTTCAAGTTGAAAAACAATAACAAATATATAAATAACATACAGAATTAAACAGGTGAGATAACGTGTTTGTGTTCACTTGCATAAGGCCAAATTTATTTTAAATTTTTGTAAGAAAGTAAAATCATCATCATAAAATTTCATATCTTTTTTATTTTTATTCAAATTAAAAAATATATGGTGATATAGAATAAAGGAATGTAATTTGGGTGTTATCACTTGGCAAGGATTTCATTGCTAGTTAAATGTGCTAAGCTATTTTATTTATTGTGCTCTTCATATTTTTTAGCAGTTGTGTGAAATATTTTTGTAAATTATGTCAAAATTTGCTTTTAAAACTTTTGATAGTGAAAATATTTTGCAGAATTATTAGTAATTCAAAATCTAGGCATTATGTCTATCATATATCAAAGAATTATTGAAACAATAGAGATGAAATAATTATGAATATTAGTTAAATATATGTTAATTTTATTGCTATAAAAATATTTGTTCATCTGGTTTATGAATTTGCCAAATTGTGGGACACTGCATTACTTTTAAAATATTGCAAAATGTAGTTCTTACATTGAAAATTTTGTTTCATTCTTCAACTACATTTTTAAAATTATATGAAATAAAGAAATAATATTGAATTTCAGTTTTTAACATGTTTGCTGTCATCTGTGAGAATACCTGTAGTTACCAAAATGAGCCCCCCCCTCCCCAAACTATGAGATAATTCTTTATTAATCTCATCTGAATCACCAATTATGGGTATATGCCAAAAAAATACTTGCAATGTTTAAGTTTTGGTGCACAGGAAGAAACTAAATACTACACTTCGCATATTGAAATGGATCCATTTAATTTTTAAAACCTAGATACAAAAATTAAATGTTTAGAACACAAAAATATATCTGTTCACAATATATTTGACTACAACAAATAAAAATTACTTTTATATATTATGTTGAAATTTTAATAGGTGTATTGAATATTATGTATAATATGTTTTAAAACAATTTTCCAAGTGCAGATTTTTTTCATATACCAGACAAAAATATCTTATTCTGTCCAGTACGAACACTATGTGGCTTTACAGATCGGACTTTTTTCTGCATTGGTGGAAAAACTACCAAATAGTGGAAATTGTCATGTTTTGTTTTTTCTTGTACAAGTATGTTCAGACTCATCCAGTCAAGCATTGTAAAAATTTTTCACGAAATTTCAAAATTATTGTTTTATTTCCTTTAATTTTAGAATGTAAAACCCCTTCCCTCCCCATTAGTCTCTTAAGATATTGGACCTTGCCATTTCAATTACAGATGTGAACTATTTCCAGACAGTGTGTGTTTGGTTGTATGGAAAGCACTTCATGCTTATTTTTCTATTTACAAACAACTGCTGCTCCATTTCTCCTCTAAACAACTTTTTTTTTGTGTGTGTGTGTGTAATTTGGGTTTCTTAGTCTATAATGTACCACGTACATTATGTATTGAAGAGTGTTAGGTGATCTGCCAAAGAAACAGAATAATAAAAATCGCTCATGTACAATATATATCCCTTGTGTAAATAGTGATCTGTTATTAAGACACAATAACATGCCGAATAAATACTGATTCAGAAGTCCAACAACAAAAATCAGCGTTAATTTTCAAAATTTTCACAGGACTAGTTTCGATGGTTTTACCGAACCATCCATCATCCTCAGCTGCAAAACCGCAAATGAGAGACCATTTGCGGTTTTGCAGCGAGGATGATGGTTCGTAAACCATCGAAACTAGTCCTGTGAAAATTTTGAAAATTAACGCTGATTTTTGTTGTTTGACTTCTGAATTAGTGATCTGTTATATGTAGAAATATGTGTGTTGCTTTACCGAGGTCTTTGTCAAAGTTTTCAGACTTTTCACAGTAAAGCATAATTTTAGTACAATTCTATTTGATTTCCATGATTCATATAGTTTGATACCATACTTGTGTTAGCTATAGAATTCATTTGTATTCCAATAATGCTCAATAGGTGGAAGATTACATGAACCCATTTGCAACAACAATCCAAGGAAAACTTTTATTTCTTTGTATCTGTCTAAGTGGAAAGATGGCTTACCTTTCAACCTGGTTTTTGCTCGTTGATTTCTCCTGAAGGATACAAATTGGTCTGATCAAGCAAAAAAGTTTTTTAAAAAAATGGAGGGGGGGGAATATAATTTTTCTATAGTGATGATCTCGGTCTTCGAACCTAGGTTTTGCTTGAATCCAGAATAAAAGTAGATCGTTTTCTATATCAGTCCAGTCATCATTGTGCACCTGCCCATTATTGTGTTTATCAGCAATATATAGGAAACTGTTTTACTGCTCACTGGGAGGAATGAATTCATCTTATTCTTCAGTGGAAAAATCACTCAAATTTGTTTAGTATTCTAGTTCTTTTTCACTGAGTATTTTCCTTTTCAATATTTTTGTGGGTTTAATAGTAAAATGTTATAAACAGATTGCTCAAGTTCAGTGATACATGCAAGACCAATGGAAAGTGATATATCACACATGCTACCTTTAGATGTGCATGAGTGCACAGAACAGGGACTATTGGGCATGCAGATCAGTTTTGTGTGCATGTGTAACATGGGTATAATTGTTTATCTCATTACGAGTATACGTGTGTGAATTTATTTGTTTATTGCTAATAGTAATGTTATATCTATATTTAAATAATAAAACAGCAGAAAATAACTTAAATGCATAAAAATGTAGACAAGTTCTTGGCATGTGTGAACAGATATACTCTCTCAGCTTTGGCAGCAAACATGTTAAGAAGATAACATTTAGGAAGAAATGAAAGTGTGCTCAGTTCTTCTTAATCTAAAATAAATGTAAAAAAGATTTTAATATATTTTTAAGGCTTTATTTCTTAAAAGTGTCACAAGTTAAAGTAAAAATATCAAACTTAGTTTAAACAAATCTTCCATTTTCTAGAACAACGTTTATTGAATGGTCTCAGGTTGCATAAGTTACATTCCATTTCATTTACTAGCTTTTCAAAAGCAGTAAATGCATGTCCAAGGTATAAATTGGCACTTCTGTAAAGAACTACTTACCTTCATCCAGATATAGATGCCTTTAAATTGTTAAATGCATTGTGAGATAATTTTGTAATGTAAGTAATTATAAAAGAAATAAAAGCATTTTTCTTACCTTATACATTTAAGTTGGAAGTAATTGGAAAGGTTAGGTGAATTGGATAACTGGATGGTTAGGATTTTTTTGCTTATTTTTTTATTCATATCTTTGTATGGCAATTTCATATTTCTACATATCTTGGGATATGATGGTATGTGTTGAATTCCCCCCTCACCTTTTTCTTGTAGATATTCTTAATAATCCTTGCAGCAATGAGATCAAATGACTGGTTGTACAGGATATCTATTTTATGAAATACTTATCAGTGTTGTTTGCTTAATAATAAGCCTGAAATACCTCAGAATTTTTTTCACTGAAAGCAAGTATACCTTGTTCAGTGAGACTTTACTCCGGCAGGAACACCGTATCCAGGAACTTTTTTTTCCCATGATCCTCATCTGTGCTACCTCATGCACACAAAACAATCAGATCTTTAAAGAAAGGTAATCTTTTCCCATTTTTAATTGCTCTTGTGTAAAATTTAAAATTATTTTATGAAGTGCATATTTTTATCATACATGTGTGTAAAATATTTTGCATTGTTTTTTATCAGTTACAGATCAAAATCTTTTGTTAAAGTCTAATTAAGCTGTTTTGCATTGTTGTTTCACAATTAAAAAAAACTGCAAAACTGCTGAATGTTATTTCTAAAACATTTGGTATTTTTATGTAGTAATTTGAATTGTTAAGAAACAATTTTTTTATTTTTAATTGTTATTGGTCGTACCTTTTTTATGATGGCACTTAAAGTGGTAGCAGTACCTTAGAAATTAACATTTTTCTTTTTAGTTCCTACAGGTTTAAAACATTTTGCTATTAGAAAAATTATATAAAAATAATCAGCAGTCGGAATTCCATCAACTATGACTATAGTTTATCCCATTTGTGAACGTCTCATGGTTAAAATTGCTGTTTTGTCTCCATGTATATTTGTTAAAA